GGGCTTTGGAGGATGAGAGTGAAAATGGTGGCCTCCCAATCTCCGCCCCAGAGGAGTCGAGAACTCGGGGGCCCCACTCCTCAGTGCACCCCCAGAGAAAAGCAGTCACTCCCATCTCCCCAGTCTCCGGCTGCACTCTGTGTTCACCTGGCCTGTGACCCAGTGTTTCTATCTCTGGCGCACAACCCTGTGTGGAGTCTCCAAACCAGCAGATCCCTGCGGTGCGCTCCCGCACCACTCCTCCTGGGGGAGAAAGGGGAGTCTCCCTGGATCTGCCGCTTGTTGGGTCCCTGCTGGAGGAGCAGTGGCCTGACTGTGCCGTGGATTATGGTTTATGGCAACCCTGAGCTGAGAGCCTGCGCCTCGGCTAGGTCTCTGCAGCCAGCTTCCCCGCTCCAATACCTGGGAACTCTGCCATACTCAGGCACCCCGTCTTTCTGTGACCCCGAGGGTCCTGAGACCACACTGTCCCAGAGAGGGTTCCACCCCCCGCTTAGCCACTGGAGCAACGTCCCTCAGCGGAGCCAACTTCTAAAAGTTCTCATTTTGTGCTCTGCAGCTCTATCAGTTGCCAGAAGTGGTGGACGGAGGCCCCCTCCCCTGCCGTCTATCCTCCCGAATACTGCCTCGGATTCACTTCTCCCCACGTCCTACCCTCCAGAAAGTGGTCGCTTCTCTGTTCAGAGAGTTGTTACTATTCTTTTCTTCGATCTCCTGTTGAGTTCGTAGGTGTTCAGAATGGTTTGATCCCTATCTAGCTGAATTCCTGGGACCAGAGGAAATCCAGGTCTCCTGCTTCTCCGCCATCTTGCTCCGCCCTCTCCCCATTCTCCATTTCTGATAAGATCTTGCACTGTGGTCATCTTTCAGCTCTGATTGAGCCTCAGTTTGGATTCTAGTCTATCTGTAACATTCTCCTGGTAGAGGCAGCTGGCCTTGTGACTTTCAGCTGCTGGTTATTAGTTTTTCATGACATTTCTCAGATATTCATGATTATTTTGTCTGCCCCTAGGAAAACTGAGGAAGAGAACAGGACAAATATTTTGTTTGAGAGCCACTAAGAGAAGTGATAAAAACAAGATCCTTTCACACCACTCTTTGCTTAGCACAACTGAGCTAAACTGGTTCTTTTTTCTGGCAAACCCATCCAAAATGTCCTATTTCTTTTCACTAGTATCACCTTACATAATAATCTGTCATCTTTGAAATCTCTTTGTCCCATATCCAGTAGGTTACAAAGTCCTGTTGTTCATTTTGAGCCTTTTTTCCCTAATATCAGAGCATCTACTTGGTCCAGCCCTCGTTTGGCTATATGCTGCTTAATTATTACAACTATCTTCTTTCTCTGTGTCTCTCCATATCAAATACAGGCTCCCCATTGCTGCCAGTACTACCCTCCTAAGACTACAGTCTGATCTTGTTAAACCTGTGTTGGACATACTTTCTTTTTTTTTTAAATCTACCCAGCAGCCATTATTTCAGGAAAGCACTCTCCAACATTCTTTTAATAATTCTGCTCAGTCCACAGGCTTCTATGGACTAACCCCCTTCCTATTCCACTTTGCCACACCTCCCAATATCACCAGAGATAAGCAAGGGATCAAGGCCATCCAGATCCATCTGCTGTAGGTCATGTGACTGCCCTGAGACTGAGAAATGACTCATGTGAATGGCCCCATGCTGACCAATCAAAGTCCTCCATGAACTGTAAAGAAAGATACTCTCAGGTCGACTGGGTGGCTCAGTTGGTTAAGCGACTGCCTTTGACTCAGGTCATGATCCCAGGGTCCTGGGATTGAGCCCCGCATTAAGCTCCCAGGTTGATGGGGGACCTGCTTCTCTCTCCCCCTCTGCCGCTCCCACTGCTTATGCTCTCCTGCTCTCTGTCAAATAAAATCTTAAAAAAAAAAAAAGAAAAAAGAAAGATACTCTCTACTCAGTGATGTAAGATTGACAAACCGCTGAGGCTGAACAACGTGGGACATTCCCACAAAGAAAACAGCTGATATAAAGACAAGCAGAGATCACAGATAATGAGAAGCCAGAAGAAAGGAGTGGGAAAGACTCCAGCAAAGGTAAAGAGGTCATTGGAGCCACCACATCCTGCTATGCTTCTGCCATCTTGGACTGAGCAGTTGTGTGAGCAAATTAATGCCTTTTATTTTTCCTTTAAAGTGTTCTGAATTGTCTTCTTGACACTGTGTGTGCAAAAGAGCCCTCACACATACAGCATCACTACTTAGATACTTTTTTGGGGGTGGCAAGGGGCAGAGGGAGAGGGACAGAGAGAATCTTAAGTAGGTTTCATGCTGGGCATGACACAGGGCTCAATCTCACAGCCCTGAGATCATGGTCTGAGCCGAATCAAGAGTCAGAAACTTAACCAACTGCGCCACCCAGGTGCCCCACTACTTAAAAACCTTTAATAGAGTCTTTTTTTTTCCTGTAGGAAATAAAACTCTCACAAACTTCTTAGCACAATATTCAAGTTCTTTGACAAAAGGGACCACCTTAGCATTTCAGTTTTAACTCTCCTGATCCAGCCTCAAGCACTTTCAAATATTAAAATAATATTAAGTTAGTACCCTCTACTATAGCCACCACTGACCCTAGCTTCTGCCCTTCATGCTACTTACTGCTCATTTCCTTAATCTTAATTATTCTCCTATTCTTTCCTTCAATACTCAATGTTCCAGATATGGCTTGTAATAGGTGCCAGTATCATATTTTACATCACGATGCTCATGCATGTATATTTCCCCCTATCAGACTCTGCAGACAAGGACTGAATCTTTCTGAAGTTTCAGCTCTAGCACCTGACAATCTGCTATAAGAAGCACACACTCCACACGTTTGCAACTCGGATCAGAAATGAAAGACTGAGGGTTGATACCTGTTAGAATCTTAATTCTTCTTTACATTACAATTTCTCAAAAATTCACCATGTCACTGTACAACCCAGTAATCAAACTTATGGGCAGTTATCCCAGAGAAACAAATTTATGTTCACATTTAAAACCTGTACAGAACTATTTACAGCAGCTTTATTCCTAATTTACCCATATTGGAAAAAACCCAGATGTCCCCCAACAGGTGAATGGTTAAACAAACTGTGTATATCAATACAATGCAATACTACTCAGCAATAAAAAAGAACAAAGTATTGATACAACAACTAGAAAATATCTCAAGGGAATTATGCTGAATGAAAAAAAAAGCGAATCTAAAAAGATTACATATGATTCCCCTGAGATAATCTTGAAATGACAAAATTAAAGAAATGCGCAAGAGATCAAGAGTCGGCAGGGGTAAGGGAAGTAGGTGAGAGGTTAAGCAGATGGATGGAGCCATAAGAGGGCATCGCAAGGCATCCTTGTAGTGATGACACTGTCCTGAATCTTGACTGTATTAATATCCTGGTGGTGACATCTTACTACAGTGTAGCAAGATGTTACTATTGGAGGACAGTGTGTAAAGGTACATATAACTCTGTTTTATTTCTTAGAACTGCATATAAATGTAAAATTATCTCAAAATAAAAGTAGATTATGCTAAGTGAAGTAAATCAAGCAGAGAAAGACAATTATCATATGGTTTCACTCACATGTGGAACATAAGCAATAGCACAGAGGACCATAGGGGAAGGGAGGGAGATCTGAAGGGAGAGAAATCAGAGAGGGAGACAAACCATGAGAGACTATGGACCCCGGGAAACAAACCGAGGGTTTCAGAGGGGAGGGGGGTGGGGGAGGGGGTAACAGGGTGATGGGTATTAAGGAGGGCACGTGTTGTGATGAGCACTGGGTGTTATACGTAATTAATGAATCACTGAACACTACATCAAAAACTAATGATGTACTATACAGTGGCTAACTGAACATAAAAACAGAAACAAAACAAAAACTAGCCACACTGCAAATCTGAACCAAGAACCAGATTCTCAGTGCAAGAGGACCTCACAAATAATCATACTTTCAAACAAAATATCTTACTGTAACTGGCAACAGAATAGGGTTTTGCCAACAAGAAGCAACGAGCTCTCTAGAAAAAGGGACAGGTAAGAGTCATTCTGGACAATATGAGAGAGGAGATTTCTTTACATACGAAAACTATGTTCAGAAACTGGATGGCAAAAAAAAAAAAAAAAAGACAAATATTAACAAGAGAAGTATCCCTGCCCAGACAATGAGCAGGGACCCTAAGTGATAGTCCATCTCTACAAGTGCCCGGCTGGGCTTCCATGGGGATGAGTAACAGCCACTGATACGTGAAATCTGATCTGTTTGCCATTTAAATCCATGTGACTCACTGAAGCTGGCTGCATTCACATCTAAAAATATAGGAAATCTGCTGCCTAAGCAAATTGGCTCATTGACGCATGGGGTTTTGATTCAAACACTACACATTTGGAGATAGTGGTTTTATATTTATGTCAGCTAGCTGTAAGGGAGGTTCTGCTCCTCAAATGCCAGAGTCTAGGTAGAAATCTAGATGCAAAGAGGATCACAAGAATTATCTGCTTATATACATGTTATCTGGCAGTCACGTGACACCTTTTTGGTAACAGGGAACATAAGATCTGAGGTGCTTTGCAGGCTAGAAGGATGCCCTTCCTTGGGCATTGGGTGTGCCCCACTAAATGCCTGTCTCCAAAGAGGACAGTGGAGTCATAAGCTATAAACGACAGAGTAGGGTGTGGTGGTCACATGAGTGACTGCGTGCCACTTGGACTGGCAGTGGCTGAGTCTACAAACACAGGGTGTGGTGCTTTGGCCCTGCCATTTTTTTTTGTTTGTTTTGTCCAGTCCCACTAAGTATCTCTTCCAGTAATGCCTACAGCCATAACAACTGGTGAGTGGGGCAGCTGATTTCTGGGTGTTCCCTCTTGGACACCCAATTCCTTCCCAAGAGGCTGTTCATATTCATGGAACCAGTAACTTTTCAGAGGTGCCCCCTTGAGCCCACTGGGACCTGCCTGGCACAGCCACTGCTGCACTCACCCATCAGGACACTGAGTAGCTTCTGCACTCTGGAATTGACCCCCACGATTCGGTAGAGCCCTTGCTCATTGATCCCTGAGAAGAGAAACAGTGATGATTTAATTAGAGGCATGTCAGAACACAAGTTAAGCCAACCCAGCCATATGCACTTTTTCATTTTCTCGGTCCTTCTAAAACCCATTCTAATTAAAGTCCCCTGTCACTCAACTCTGCTCTTAGCGAAGGAGTGGGATTTGGTGCAGCTGTCTAGGATTTCACGGGTGTGCTGCACACTTCAGCCCTTGTGTTAGTTCAGTTCAGTCAACAGAGGGGAAAGAAACCTTCCTCTTCTCTTGCCAAACGCAGCATCTGAAGAGTTTTGAAAGATGCCAAATATATACTTTTAAATATGCTACATTTAACCAATTTTTAAATTTAAAAAGCCAAAACTGATGTGATAGAAATTTCATGCTGTAGAAAAGAAAAAATGCTTTATAATCTATTTTCAAATACAGAATAAAAATACAGAGGTGTGAGAGCATTTTTAATTTTGGACAATGTTCACCAAGACTGAGAAATTAGGAAATCCATTTATTTGTCATGTGAACATTCTTTATGAAGAAAAAGGAGAATTACCTTCATTCAACCCAAGTAAATGTGCAGTTGAACTAGAAGGGGATTACCTAAAAACAGCCAAAGAACCAAAACTAAGCCACCTCAGTGCTTTGTTCATTTGAGTGCAAGGATTGGATCACCGCTATACCATTTACAAAAGGGAACCATTTAGACCAAGTGACTGAAGAAGTGATTTTTCTGTTTAGCCCTAGGCCCATCATACCCCACACCTTTCAACTAACTGGTCACCTGCTTCCCATCTTATTCCCCTGATGTCCCTTTTCCAACCAGTATCCAAAACGAACTTCTTGAAGTATGTATCAGTTCAAATCCTCTCTTTACTCAAAACTTTCCAATGGCTTCCCATGGCATTTAGACCATAATCAAAATTTACTGTGGCCCACAAGGCCCTGCAGGATTAAGCACAGGCCCACTTCTGCATCATCAACCACTTTCACTCTGCTCCAGCTACACTGGTCTTCCTGTTTCTCCCACACATCAAGCTTGCGCACCCAAATCACAGCCTCTGCACAGCTGTTTCCTCCACCTGGAACATGCTTCTCCCAGATCTTTTTATCATTCAGGTCTCAACAGAAATGCAACCTCTTCAACCTAAAGCATCCCATGACCAACACTACTGGCTGGTCCCCTACCCTCTTTTCTTTGTAGCAAGTAACAATACGTGAAATTATCTTTCTTTTTTGGTTTCTTGTTTGTCATTCTCCCCACAACTATGACATAAACTCTATGTACAGTGATTCTGTCTTCTTTACCATTATAGGCCCCGTACTTAGGTCAGTATACAATACATGACACAATGAATAAAACACTGAGTTTTACTCCTTCAGGGCCACTACTTTGGGACCAAAACAAAATTTCCTGGAAGAAATTTGGGAAAAGGCTGATTCTACAGTGTCTCCAACCAGGCCCATGTAGAATTAAGGAATAAAAAGAAGTGGTCTAGAATGATAGGATTTTATAGCTAAAAAAGACCTGTAAAAGCACGTACATCAGCCTGCATGGCTCGGCGGCTAGGAGACTGTGATCTAAAACTAAGGGATGGGCCCCAAGCTACTTAACGGCAGAACCATTACTCAGTAACGTGGTGGCTTAAAGGGCTTGTCCCTTCTCAAGTGTCTCTACTTCTGTCCTTGACCTTTCCTGGAACTGGATACAACCCTGTCTCCTGCTAGACGATGATTAACGAACTCCAGAAAATATGGGATGTCTGTTCACCTCTGGTCACCACAAAAAATTATATACATACATGCATTCCAGTAGGAAAATAATCACTTCTTTCAAGTATTTATGCTAAAATGGCATTTAACTCACACTGTCCTCTTTTCCTTTTTGTGTCAAATGAAAACTTTCTTACAAGTGAAAACATACCATTCTCATCTTTATTTTAGAGCAGGAGGGGAGAAAGAGGCAGAGGCTAGGACACCAAATCTATGGTGACCTTGTTCTTCCTCTACTACTTATTATGTATATTTTCTGGCTTTATATCATAAAAAGCTGTCCTCCTGAGCCACTGGTCTGCGTTTATCACAGGCTCTGTGAAGCGTTTTAAATGATTACATTTCCCTATTGGTTTGGCTGCTGAGAACTCAAAGAGGTGGCCCACCTCAGGCAAGCGGATGAATTTCACAGTGGAGGGGAGGGGATTTTTTGTTTTGAACTTACTTTTGGCAGCCTTTTTATTATGCCTCTACTTTTGTTAACCCTGTACCTCTTATTCCTAATTCTTTTCTCTTAGAATGAACAGAAAATTAAAACACCTGTTGAAAAACTGCCTTAGTAACAGTTTGAAAATTCAGAAATTGCCATTGAGGCAAGTAGATAAACCAAAGGAAGACAGTAAGAAGAGTGGGGAGCCCCTCTGACGACATGGTGGTACCTGAACATATATGGATCTCCCTTCCCCCCACCACCCCCAGAATGCATTCATACTGTGCAGGCTGTTCCGTAACTTTCATTTTTCACTTAATATGTAATAAGGAAAGCTTGGCATGTCAATAAATGTATTTCCCTGCAGTTTTAGCGATTCACGGCTTTTTACCGCATGGATGTACAACTAGTGATTCAACCAGTTTTTGAAACATTTGACCAGTTTCTGTTTTTTACTTTAACATCATTGTGTAAACAGCTTTGTGGCTCAACCTGCCTGTGTCCTTATTTCCTCCAGATCAATTCCCAGAAATCTCACCTATTTCTACTTTATATTCTCTGGCTGTATTTCACTTCTCTTTGCAAGCTGCCTTAACTCTTTATTGAAGGAAGGTATAGCAGAAATAAGCAAACATTTAAAAAATCTTAGAACGCATTCAAATAACTACTTTGGAAAGAACACTTTCTGACTGGGTAGGAGGAGTGGCTCATACAGTTAAGATTTTTTTCATCCCCTTTACTCAATGCTTTATACTTTATAAAGATATTTATATCTTATACTTATAATGTAATAATTACAATAGAACTCTTACTAGTTACGGATCCTGCTTTAAAAGATAAAACTTCTTTCAATCAAGTGAAAAAGACTAATGGGTTGAGAGGCTGTGGAATAGTAAGACTCACATCTTTAACAATGGTTCAAACCAAATCCACAGCAAAGTTAGTTAACAGCTTTTCTCAGGAGTATCATAGACCAGAGTACTCAAAGCTCCCAACTGCCAGAACTGAGACTCTCCTTTGGGTCGACATCGAAGGATGGGAAGGAGACCACTGGGATGAATTAGCTTCCCTGATTCTTCAAGTCCTGCTCCCACAGCCCCAGGAAGGGTCAATGTCCAAGAGGCAGGGCCTGGCTACAGCACTGCTACAGCAAACCAGGGGCCTGACCCCTTCTACCCACCTGGATAGTCACCAGGGACTGGCTTTTCATAGCACGGTTCTTAACCTGGCATCCACAGACCCCAGGAGTGCACTAGAGAATTCAGAGTGTCAATGAACTTAGGCAGGAAAACAATTATGCCTTTACTTTCATGACCCTGTCACTGAATTTAAACATTTCCTTCCATTATGATATAAGCAATAAATCACAGTGTTAGCAATACCTGTGACTTGCTCAGAAATCAGTTATTTTCATAACACACTGCGACTTTTATAGACATCTTGAAATATCAGGCCAGCTGACCCTTGATCAACACGGGTTTGAAATACACAGGTCTACTTACACATGGATTTTTTTTCAATAAACACACTACAGTACAATCAATGTGCTTTATGATCTTTTAATATTTTCTTTTCTCTAGCTTACTTTATTGTAGTATTACAGTATATAATACATGTTACAGATAAAATATGTATTAATTAATTGCCTATGTTATTGGTAAGTCTTCTGGTCAACAGAAAGCTGTTAGTAGTTGTTTGTGGGGGAATCAAAAATTATATGCAGATTTTCAACTGCACGGGAGGGTAGGGGGTCGGCACCCTGAACTTCCACATTATTCAAGGGTCAACTGCATTTCCAAATTATGCCAGTTATCAGACCTGTGTCTATTACTTATTATTTAAAGTGGTAACAAAGAAACACATATACTATTACATCACAACTAGGTCTTCCAATATTTTAACTGAATTCCAGTAACTAGACTCCTTATTATCCTATGTATTTGACACGTATGTCTTTAAAACATTCTACTAATCAGCCAAAGAGGTTGATGACACCAAATCGATTGAGGGCCCCTGCTTCAGAGCAACACAACCTGTAGAAACACACTAATAATGGCACTTGGGGAGTTAATGAGTCACTTAAAATCGGGAAACAGGTAGCAGGTCTGACACCTCACCAGATGTGTGACCTTCACTGAGAACAATGTCATCTGTTGAACGACTTTACCTCTGGTTTCCACAGCGTGGATGCATTTCCTGATTATGCTGAAGCCAATGCTGTCCAACTGTGCAGCTGAAAGAGGAAGAGAGGGGCAGTCAAGTTGCTGGCCATGCATACCAACCTCAGACAAGGTCTGACAGACCCAGGATCAATCAGTCCCATGGTTTGGCCACAGATAAAAATGATCAAAAAAAAAAAAAATCAGCAGGCATTCACTGAGAGATTACCATATGCCAGGTCCACTTCTAAGTGCTTTGTTTATATTATCTCATTTAATTCTCATGGTCACTCAGCAAAGTTATCCTCTATTTACAGTTGAGGACACTGCAGCATAGTGATATGCGCTTTGCCAAAGGAATAAGTAGGCATCCTTTAAATCACTTGTTCTGTTATTGTCAGGAACTATTGGACTAACTGCTTCCTGGCCTCCCTCAAAAAGCATAAATTAAGTGGCACAATAAATGTTAGATAAATGCTTTACACAGATTATCTCAGTTAATCCTCGTAAATCCGCTAGGCTGATACTAGCATTAGCTCCATATTATAGATGAAACAACTGAGATTTGGCAAAGCTAAATGGCTTGATCAAAGCTGCAGAGCTAATAGGTGGGAGACTCACTCAGAGCCTGTGAAGACCTAACTGCCTTAAATATGACCTTGAATTAAAGAGAGAAGTCGAATCCTGCTCAGGTGATTAGAAAAGAAGGAAAAAATGGCAAAAGGAAAAGTGACCTAAAGGAAAATAAAAGCAACCTAGAACAAAGAAGTTACCTGATGAATAAGCACAAGGCAGTAGAGCCATCCTGTGTGCGATCTGTCAGCAAGTAGTAAGAGTTTTCCACCTGCTACAAACCCCACTAATGTGACTCAGAAAATTAACAATCAAATAGCAGCAACCTTTTCCACAGCTCAGAACCAACTTCCAACCTGGCAGTGAGGCTGGGAACCCACCAAGATTCATCTCCATGTTTGGATTACCCAGTGAGAAGATGTGGATGGTAACTGTTAAGAATGGGTTCACCTTTTGAGTACCTTGGGACATCAGGGCAAGACATTCTATAAATTCATGGATCACAGAGGAGAAGAGAATGGTAGAAAGTAGGAAGGGAAGTATTTTTAAACAATTTGTCATCATCCTGGGCAAGAAATAAACTTGTAAAATATGAGAACTATTGAACTCATTCTTTGATCTAATCCAAACAGAACCTTTCTCAAAAAAATTTTTTTAAGTTTTTAATTTTAATTCCAGTGTAGTTAACATATAGTATGATATTAGTTTCAGGTGTACAATGTAGTGATTCAACACTTCCACACATTAGCTAGTGCTCATCACAAGTGCACTCCTTAATCCCCATCACCTATTCAACCCATCCCCCCACCCACCTCCCCTTTGGTAACCATCAACGTGTTCTCTATAGTTATAAGCTTGTTTTTTTGGTTTGTCTTTCCTTTTCTTTCCTTTGCTCTTTTGCTATGTTTCTTAAATTCCACATGAGTGAAACCATATGCTATTTGTCTTTCTCTGACTTATATGCCTTAGCATTATACTCTCTAGTTCCATCCATGTTCCTGTAAATGTCAAGATTTCATTCCTTTTTAATGGCCAAATAATATTCCATTGTATGTATGTACGCATGCATATATATATATACATACATATATATATATATATATATATATATATATATATATGCGCCACATCTTTACCCATTCCTCTATCAATGGACACTTGGCTGCCTCCATAATTTGGCTACTATAAATATTGTTTCAATAAACATGGGGGTGCACCTTGCTCTAATTCTTTATGTATACGAGTGAACTTACATCCAATGAAGATAAAGATCCTTAAGAAAATCACTGCATTCCTCAAACTAAAAAGGAATGATTTATTAAAAATTCTCTTCTCAAAGGAAATAAAATAACTCTTATTCTTACCGACATACCTTTCATTTACTGATACTTATTTTAAACACATTTGGTCTCTAGGATAGTCAGTAAAGTACCAGAAAAGGAGGAAAACAGTATTTCTCTTCCTGGAGACTACCTGCTATACAAACCACCGCTCTTACTCTCTTAAAGTTGTAAGGAGTCTACTAACTTACTCTCATGCTTTTTCTAGTATAAACCAAGTATTTACTCTGCAAATCATGCAGTACAGAGCTTTCTGACTCAAAGCTGCCAAGTCAGATTGAAATCAGTCTTCCAAATGAAACTCAATCAACTCATGCCATAGACTTTTCCCAAATTTAATAACAAACAGTGATACACAGGCTAAATACCTGTTAAAATCTAGGCAAAGATTATTTAAAATAAGAGTTTTATTGAGATATAATTCACATACTATAACATTCACCCATTTAAAGCTCAAAATTCATTGGTTTCTAGTATACTTACAAAGTTATGAATCAGGCACCATTATTTGATTCCATAACATTTTCATTCTCTTCCACATAAAACTTCATACACATTAGCAGTCACACCCTATTTCCTGCCTTCCATCAGTTCCTAAAAATCAGTCATCTGTTTTCTGTCTCTATAGATTTGCCCATTCTAGGCAAGTAATATAAACGGAATCATATAATACAAGGTCTTTTATGTCTAGCTTCTTTCACTTGGTATAATGTTTCCTAGAGTCATGTATGTTGCAGCATCAATACATAATTCCCTTTTATGACTATATTCTATTGTCTGGATATATCACATGTAATTTGTCCATCCACTGTTGTTTCTACTTTCTGGTTATGAAATGCTGCTAGGAACATCTCTGTGCAAGTCTTTGTGTGGACATATATTTTCACTTCAGTTTATACCTACAAGTGGAATAGCTGGATTACATGGTAACTGTGTGCTGAACGTTTTGAGGAACTGCCAAACTACTTTCTAAAGCAGTACACCATTGTGCCTTACCAGCGATGTATGAGGGTTCCAACTTCTCCGCATCCTCGCTGATATCTGTTATTGTCTTTTGTATTATAGCTTTCTTAGTGGGCGTGAAGTGGTATCTCATTGTGGTTTTGATTTGCATTTCCCTAGTGACTAATGATGTGGGGCATCTTTTCATGTACAGGGGAGGATATTCATTCCTTTATACAGTAATCAGAACAGAGCCTACTGGAAACTATTTGTCAGAAGGGAAACTAGTTTTTGTTCTTTAGGAGGTTTCCAAAACGTTTATAACTATGATTCAATAGTCAGTTGAAGCCTTTTAGTTCTTCTTTTGAGAGGTGATCAACGGAATTTATGCACAGGGATGATAGCTGAAAAAGTTCAGGAGGAAAAGAACCACCATTTTGCACCATCCTCTGGAGCGCTGCTGAGACTGATTCCAAGCTTGGATGCTTTAAGAGTACGTTTGCGGCATGATCTTGTTCTACACATTGATCAACATCTATCTTGGACAAAAAGTATTTTGCTTCCTTTACCCCATAAACAGTGGCAAAAGTTTTGGAAGGTTGAAATAACCTGGCAGCTGACAGTGACAATGCCAGTAACCAAAAGATACCTGCTCATAAAGCCATCGGCATAACTAGCAGAAGTAAGGACAGAGCTAGAGATAGACCTGCAAGGCCAAGTGAGTCCTTGAATGCAAGAAGCAAGATCCTTTCCTAGGTAAGTAATAGCTAATGGAAAAGAATGCAATGGAACCTTCCAAGTATATCCAGAAAAAATCAAATTCCACTAACCTACACTAATTACCATTACTTCTTTTAGAAATTAACAAAGCAAACTGCCCCCCTCCCCAAATCTCTTAGCAATTCTCCTTTGGTTTTCCCAACATTATTAAGTTCTTTCATTTGTTTTAAACCTGCTAACTCCTTTTCTTGAAATAAATCTTACACAGACATTACACACAAAGGCCTTACACATTACACATGTAACATAGTATTAGTATATATTAGTCGTCTTGAGTTCAAAAGTATAACACATTTACATATTACCAAGTCAAAGGGAGTTCAAGGTAACTCACTGTCAACCTCTAGTTGTTCAAGTAGCATTCTGATGATAATTATTACAGTTTTGTAGGCAGATAACACTGTATTAAGAAATGAAATTCATATCAAACAACAGTTCCCAACAAGGAACTCATGATACAGAGTTTCACAATCATTGCTCTAAGTCTCTAAACTGAAACCGGTACAATTATTACATTGCCTGCTGCCCTGGGACATCCCTGTTTGTCCCTGTGTCTCTAAGGCTATGCCACCCACAAGCACACACGTACACACACGCATGTGCGCGTGCGTGCTCACACACACGCATACACATGAAGTTTTGACTTCTATTCTGAACTTGAATTCCCTGCTGATGTCACGATTAGGTTACTAATGATTAACAACTGCTTTATTATTTAACACGCACAGAGTACTACTAATGTAATAGCTATTATAGTGCATACATAACTAGAGATCATTAGTTCTGATCTCTGCCCAGCAGGTACATAATCTAAGTTAATTGAGATCGCCTCTGCTGAAAAGCAAGATCCCACTAAAAGGTTTAGAACATGATCACCACTGAACAGAGTTTGTTAATGACAGAAAAAGTCTGAGCAGACTGCCAGATGGAAGCGGCTGTCCTTAATCCCCTGAAGCAGGTGATTCAGCTCTTTTACTGGGCCAAGGCTCAGAAAAGGTCAGGGATTTATTTGCAATTTCTCTATCCTTATAATCTCCAGGAATAATCTCTCATTAAATATCTACTAGGCTTGCATTATTCCCTTAATTTGACTTGCAATGAGTTGTTGCAGGACCTGTAGCTCCTAGGCCTGCCATCCACTGTCTTGCAGCTAAGGCCCGAAATGGCTTCTCTTCCTCCCTCAGCCTCAACTTCAACTCTGCCCAGGATTCTGCACCAGGCAGCCCAAACAGCTTTCATATAATGACTGTCAACAGAGCTCACACCAAATACCCAGGTTAACCTGCCAAGTTAGAAATCTATCACCGTCTTAATTTTCATTTCAACTTTCAAAGCCTTGTTTGTCTCCTTTTAGAAGAAGGTCACACACGCCTATTTTCTCAAAGTTCTATGGAGAACACAAAAACACCGAGAGTTGGGTTGATGCTCAGTCAGCTCGG